TTCATAAAATTAAAATAGTTGAAAATGAGTTTAAAAATACAAGTAGTTATTATTTAGGATTTCTAAAACTAGTTTTAGAGAAAAAAACTAACTATAGTGCTCTACAGTATATTGCACCAGAAGTTTTACTTGGGAAACAATTCACCAAAGCATCAAATATTTATTCTTTTGGAATGGTTATGTGGGGCTTAACAACAGAAGACAATGTATATTTTGAACATGAATACAGTAATTATGATGATGTAAATTTGGTTAAGGAAATTTGTAAAGGATTAAGACCAAATATTCTTAAGGATACACCGCCGCTTTATATAAATCTATTAAAAAAGTGTTGGATAGTAATCCAGAAAATCGACCATCAGCTTTAGAGATTTCTGATACTATCTTGAAATGGATAAATGATGAAAAATTTTTATCGGAATTTATGAAATATGATAACGAAGCTAGCAGTGAATTTATAAGTCATGTTAATCAATCAAATGAGATTATAATCGCAAGTAAAAGTATTGATTTTAAAATTGTTTAATATAGCCTGAGTAATTTAGCACAAGTGTAATAGCTTCGATCATTCTTTAATTGGAATGCATTCAAATTTCACATCAAAATTATGGGTTTTTATGCAGTATTTATATATTAAATAAATGATTAACCTTTTATAAAATTTTTGGGGAAGTCGAAACCATGGGTTCGATTTTCTCCGGCGCGAAGTTTCGCCTAATAATTATATTTTTACTGCTATGAAATAAAGGTTTTATTATTTTAATTTAAAATTTTTTATTAAAGATAATTGATCAATCATTTCTTTAAATATAGGATATTTTTAGAAGAAAATAATCTGGCAATTATGTGGACCTTTGCAGGGAAAATTATTCATCGAGATTTTCCTGACAAAGATCCATATAATAGATATATATATTTTTATTATTTCGTAATTACTTAGGTATAAGAAATTTCATCAAAGTCTTATATTAACTTAACCTGATTACAAATCTACAGATAATTTATATTTTTAGTAAATCAAAACGTAGCTTAGTGAGATTGATCATTTTCCGAAAATTGTTATACGAAATAATAAAAAATAGTCGACTTTTAATTGTAACATGTTACTTGTAACAACCTACTTAGTAGCCAATAAAAATTAATAAATTTTGATTGATAACATACTATGTTACAGTTAGATATCTATTAATTTTTATCGCTTTGTGTTGTCAGGCCCCAAATCGGCGAGTCTGTCGCTAAATCGAAAGTAGGTCCGTGTAACCAAGCCTGAGGTTACTTTGGGTCGAAAGAGGCTTGTTAGATTTGATCGAGTGGTTTATTTAGTCTGGAACAGAACCAAGGTTTTTATAATTAGGTAAGGTTTGTAACGAAGGTATATATTAAACGTAGGTCCGATATACGAAACTTAATAAGTGTATAACAGTCACACGATTTGTCACGTAGATCACGGGGGTAAATTTTTTACTATGAAATTTGAGTGATCGACATGCTCAATTTTCATAGTAAATTGCAACGGTTACCTACTTTCAATCATTTATTTCAAGGGTTTCAAAAAAGGAAACCACACTTATGACATGCATTTTGACGGTTTAGAAAGTTAATTTCTTTATTATTTGCATGTTTAAAATATAATACAAAATAAACCCAAGAAGAATGCGGCACTTAAAGTTTGCATTTTGTTTTATTTTTATATGTATAAAACTGCTTACTATTTCGCTTCTATTAACTTACCAAGCTTATTTTAAATATTATAAACTATTAGAACTGTTTAAAAAGGTTGCAAGTTACGACTACAAGGTACCAGATTCAACACGTAGACCTTGCCAGGTTTAGAAATCATGTGATTACAACAAAATTTTAAGCTAGTTAAACTAGAATTATTACTAAAAAGTAATTTTTTAAAATTAAATAGGTCGAAAATAGCTTATTAAATTTCAACTGGGTTGGTTTAGCAAATACCAACGAAGTTATTCTTGTGCAAATCTATCTTACTGGAAGGCATCAGGCTGGTTAAAGTTATAAAATAATTAGAATTAAGATTAGCAATAAGATATAGTCACAAATAACAAAAAAAAAACTGTATACATATTTATTAAAAACATTTATTTATTTATTTAAATAAAAAATTATACAATTATTAAATTAAAATTGATTCGAATAATTTAAATATGCTAATTTAATAAATAATGGATTTTTGCTAGAAAACAGACGAATTTGATAAAAAAAAAAAATTTACAAAAAATTGGGTTTCTCGTGAACTATTAATCAGAATTGTATGATTTTGATACCATTTGATTCATCTCAATAAGATGAATCGAATAGTACCAAAATTATGTAATTCTGATTAATAGTTCATGAGAAACCCTATTTTTTTGCTAGAAAAAGGGACGAATTTGATGGGAAAAAAAAATTTACAAAAAATTGGGATTCTTGTGAACTATTAATCCGAATTGCACGATTTTGGTACTATTCGATTCATCTCATTAAGACGAACTGAATGGTACTAAAATTACATAATTCTGATTAATAGTTCACAAGAAACCCAATTTTTTTTGCTAAAAAAAGAGACAAATTTGATGAAAAAAAATTTTTACAAAAAATTGGGTTTCTCATGAACTATTAATCTGAATTACATGATTTTGGTACCATTCAGTTCGTACGAACCGAATGGTACCAAAACCATATAATTTAGATTAATAGTTCATGAGAAACCCAATTTTTTGTAAAAAAATTTTCTATCAAATTTGTCCATTTTCTTAGCACAAGACCCACATAATTAACATGAATAAATAAAAGAAAATTGTCCTAAATTAAAAATATTATAAGTTTAAGTATAGTATATTAATTTTTATGTCTTAACTAGAATTGTTAGATGAACTATTTTTATGATATCACTTGTTCAAAACTGCCCGATTAATATCTAAAGTTTCATCTAACAGTTATGCCTCCAACTAGTTAAAACAAAATAAACAAGACAATATAAGCTTAAATAACTTAACTCAAATAAATATACCTAGTTAAGAATAGAATAATAGAAAGTATTAACAAAGTTGAATAGCTTAAAATATATTAGTTACAACAAATTAATGAGTGATCTACTTACTATAAAATAATTTTCTTGATTTTCTGCATTATGTTCTTAATGTACCTGCCTTTCGAAGATGCATTTTGCCAAAAGCTCTCCTTATAGCACACCTAGTGAACCACTTTACAGGTAAAAATTTGCAAACTCAGAAAGAATGCGTCAAAAGTATGTAAAATAATTACCCACCTTAAGGGTGTAGCATTTTATAGGGAACAGTTTGTTTTGTATGATCCATGTACTATATGATTCATAAAAACCTCAAGAATAATTTTGTTATATAGAACGATATATATTTTAGCTAAAGGTTTAGACAAAAATTTTAAAACTGTAATTCGTCAATTTGTGTAACATATGAAAAATTATACGTTAAAATTTTAGATGTGACAAATCGGGTGACTGATAATCTTATTAATAGTAATTAAGTGAAATATAAAATGTAGAGATTCATTAATAGTAATAATATGATTTTGGGAAGTAATTGTATAATTAGAAATGATTTAATAAAGCAAAGGTGGGAGTTATCTTCTTCCCAGGATCAAAAAGCCTTTATTTATAATGATTAATTCAGCTATTTATATTTGAAAGATCCTTTAGATTCTCATTATTATTATAATCGGTCTTATAACCACGATCATTAATATCATTGAAAAAGTTTGGATTATACGGATCCTTCTAATAACCCAGATCAGATTATCTGAATTATTAAAGAAATCAAAGAAATTAGGCTGATCATGGCAGAGAGCCCAAATTTGGAAATATCTGGAACCATGAGAGTACATGTCTGCTTCAGGTCACGTTACCGGGCTCACAGTATAACAATTTTCAGAAAATGATTAATCTCACCAGTATTGGAAATCTGTTTTGAGATTTATGTTCTCATGAGAACAAATTTATTGTTCTCAAAAATAAGGATAAAATTTATTTATATCTCTATTTTTTTTAAATCTATTATTTTGGAGAATATCGGTCATTTACTTAAATTTTTGTCTAACCCTTCTTATCTTTTATGTTTATTCATTTTCTTTTTGAATAATTTTGGAATTCGTTCGATTCCTAATTTTATTAATACTTATAGAGAACATATTTTTCGAGTATTATATTCTTAAATGTTTTTTTATCAAAAACATTTACACAATAACAAATGTTCTCAAATCTAAAGGTATGAGAATACGAGAACATAAGATTTTCAACACTAAATCTCACTAAGCTATGTTTTGTTGATAATGCCTATATCATCCTAATTATAAAATGATAATAAACATTCAAATGTGAGTTATAGCAAAATTTGAAAAGATGTCAGTAAAAAAAGGCTTTATATAGTTAGAATGATTTGTGTCGATACAATATTGTCATAATTTATATACAAAATTTGTCATTATTAATGCAGATACACAAAAAATTTTGTTTATGCAAATATTTCAAGGTTTAAATTTTGAAATAAATAATATTAGAGAAAATAATACACTAGTAATATGCTATAATACTGTAAAAAAATATTATACAATATATGAATTTAAAAAGTATACATATGGTAATAATATAATTGGCTAGATAAAAAATCTACATAGAATTTGTTAAAGTATTAGCCACCCAATATAAAGAATTAATTGTAAAGCCAGTTAAAACACTTCTTGTAAAGCTTCTACTTGATTAATATAAATTGAACAAAATCACAAGTAATCTATATTAAAAAGAAGGCTTTCTGGTCTGTATTCTCTTTATTCGTATATTTCTTTTTTATTTATGATCATTAACTTAATCCAGATTATTCAACAAATATAATAAATGACAGCCTGGGATTATGAGGTTTGATTATAAAATATCATTTCCACAATAAACCTTTCCAAATATTTTGTACCTGCTTTATGGAAAAAGTCCTTAAAGTTTTAAGAAGGATTTATTTTGTTTAAAGTAATCATAACTGCATTAACCAATCATCCATAGAAAGGTTATTAACATATAATAAAACTGTATCATATAAGACTAACTATATGTAAATAGCTAAAAACAATTGTAAATACCAGATGAGAATATTTTTTATGTATTTATTGATTATTATTGAATTACTATCTATTACAGATGATTCATGTGAGTTGTTTACTCTCAAGTTTCCATTCTCTATAGATGTACCATGAAAGTTGTCTACCCCTAAATTTTCATTCTCTATGAATATGTCAGGTTCAGATAGAAGCCCATCAAATACACCCAATTTGTTGATTTTCCCTTTATAAATACATCTAAGTAACCGAGTTATATATAATGCCCAAAAAACCACCATAGATTGATTAATTAATTGTACTCAAGGTCCAGTGCAAATATTAACTGAGATAAAATAAACCATATCAAAATTAAGAGTAATGATTACAAATTTATGTCGAACTTTTTGTGCTCTATATATAGCAACTAAAGAAATTACTATGCCCAGAAATAGTATAATCATCAGAAGAACATAATCAAAAAGAACATATCTACGAATCACAATGAGCATGAAGAAAGGGAGAGCAAAACATGCACAAAAATATACGAATAAGAAGTAAAAGAAATTATAAGCTGTAGAAATAGTCTTTCGATACCTTTTTAATGGCTTGAGACGAATAGATATAAATGTAATTATAGTAATTAAAAGTGGTATGAAAAGAAGCGCACTAAACAATGGGAACGTTTTTCTATTTATAGTACTGAAAATAGAACCTAAAACTGAAGGCGCTACTAAAAGAATGATGTCGTCAAAAATAACTTGTAATTCCTTTCTAGGCTCATCATCGTAAAAGTAATTGACTATGGGTAAGATTATGGTCGAACAAATAATTATAGAGGCATCATTGAATGGTAGAGAATAATCTGTGAATTGTGCCGTCATTAAGATGGGAAAGAAATTTGCAGGTATATATGTATAAATATGAGACAATACGTAGTTTTGCACATTATATACTCTTTATTAGGTAGTCCGTTAGCTTATTAATTCAAACTTTATATTGCTAATTATTTTCTACATAATACGTGTAACTTGGCCTGATCTCAAAAATAACCCATATGGTATATAAGTCTCATACAATTTTTGGCAAAAAATTCTTTAGGTAAACATCAGGTGCAAAGGTCCAATAATAATACGTATTTATTATTCCATATTATTAAGTTTGGTTGATACACAATATTTATTTATTAATTTTTTTTTATTCGTATTTTAAGTATTTTAATGACGTTTTATATTTCATTTAAGTTTCCAGAAAAGTCGTGAATTAAAAGCTTGATTTAAAATAAATGGCATGAAACATGAAAAATCAGATGCTGCTCACGAAGCAGCGATAAATAACAATAACTTATGGTAATATTTATTTAAATAATGTATTTAGCCCTTATAAATGCAAATTTTAAGGATATTATTTATCAAAGTTGATGAGATTTTTTTTATTTAATTCTATGGCTTCATAGAGTTAAAATAAAAAAATTTCATCGATTTTAGACAGATATCTATCGGGTTGTTCAAAGCGGTGTTTTTTTTTGATAATTATCAAAAAAAAATTTATCGAAATTTGATAGATGTTTGTTGAGAAATTTTTACTATTTTAAAAAACATTCGAATTTTACAAAAAAATCGGTAAATTATTTTTTATTTTAAACTTTAAACGAAACGAATTGAATAGGTATTTTATATACGAAGATTAGTAATTTATTAATGCAAATAATAAGTTTTTTATATAAACTTTATATATCGTATTATAGTATCATATAAAAAATAAATGACGTAGCATTTTTTATTTAGTTATCCCTATTTCTTTGTCTTTGAATTTGTATCGGATTGGGCGGTAATCACGGGATCGACAATTTGTACCATGGTACAACCAACAGGGGCGACCGTCCTCGTTATACAAATTACGAAAATCTCCGATCAGGTGATAACCAATCAAAAGCGTGAATTTT